CTATGTGAGGATGAAAGTGCTTGAGAAAGAGGATTTAGATTGTTGTTGTGTTTAGCTGGCTGTTGCTATTTAAAAAAAATTAATTAAAATTTTAAAGATAAATATACTCAAATGTTAACTTCCTCTAAATTTTGTCAACCAAGCTGATCACAAAGTCGGACGTTGCCGATTTAGTTAAATCTGAGCTAAGTATTTGTTCGTTTTTGCTTTTTTTCTGTTTATAAGCTTTGAAATGGCTACGATCCCGGTATCGGTGTTGATGATAAAATACGGCAGCCAAAAAAGTTTTAACTCAATGCATTCAATTGTTATTTAATGGGGTGACTTGATCTTTAAATTCCTTTTTCACACCAATTCGGTTGTAGGGTAAAACTGTCAGAAGTCATTACACCAGGTTTTACTGCAATGCTGCATCGATCCATTGCTTCTAGTTGTCTAGGGGGAGGACATTTAATTGCGTGTAGGGCGCATTGACGGTGTCAGTAAGGCGAAACGCCAACTCGTACCTATGGCGGAAGCGACATCCATACCAATTTTTATGCGCATTAGAGGCGGTGTGAATTATTCTTTGTCATTAAATCTTGATTTTTCATTTAGCCATCAACCCACTTCACAGATCTGATACGCTTAACCCTGAAATTGGCAGAAAATGAATCGATTACGGATAGCTGAGTCATCGTGGTACAAATAAGTCATTTTATCTGAATGAGCTCAACCGTTCATACTGTTCTTCGATGTAATAAATCTTTGTCTGCTTTCTTCTGCTCTCTAAGCAGAAGGTTAAGGTTTATAGGCGAAAGGCGGTCGAAATTTTATCTAGTGTACTGTATTAGACGACAAGAGATCATAAGATTGACGTTACGTCATGAAGTCCACAGATCGCAGCGAACCAAACGTGAACATCTTGTCATCTTCGTCATTTCTTTAAACTGAAGATGCACAAGCTATACTCGGTATGTTCTCATGGTGTTGGACGATATATATATATCGTCCAACACCATGAGAACATACGGAGTATAGCTTGTGCATCTTCAGTTTAAAGAAATGAAGGCATTCTTTATGGAGGCATTCATAAGACGTACACAAACCATCGCAGCTATGACTTGAGAAAAATCGGCTGTTCGCCAAGATTCTCTCAGATATCCGCCATCATACGTTGTTTGCCGTCTGGAAATTCCACTCCAGCACATCATCGAACTTTTCCCGCAATTGATGATTGCGTTTAAATTTTAAAAAGTTGCTTTGATGAATATGCTTTAATGCGTTCTTGTGGTTGGTCAGTTTGACTCTGATTTGAAAAAATATTCTCTCTCGTATTGTTTAGTAGACTGCGAATAGTCAAATTCCAGCTGTGTGGTCGTAATTCCGGTGGCAATTAACCAAAGTTTTCCTGCACATGGTAAGTTGATAATTTTCGAGCTTAGACATGAAAATCGAAATCAGTACACTGTAATAAATCAGTAAATTTTGTAGTGAAATATATTTCATTTGTTTGTGTTTTCTCTAGGTCGATGTTATCGATTCATAGCATGTTGGCTCACTTCTGTTGTTCGGTTTTTTTCAGTAAATGTTAATCTTAGTTTTCACATTAATCTCGTTTTCTTAAAGTAATTCCAGATTACTGGTAACTGTTGACATTGCTTCAGAACAAGGCTAAATTGATAGTGATAATGAATATGCGCACAGATATTTTATATGCATACAGAAGGTATAAGAACACGAGGAAAATTTGACACAGTGCATGAATAATTGCATATGACTGTATTGACCCTTCGTTTTTGTCAGCAATTATGGTGCCCTACTTACAGATGGATTTACAATAGTGAAATATGAAGATCCGTCGTCTCATCATTTCCATTATCACTAAATGACTTTGTGACAAATGGTCGGTACTAGTCATTGTTGTTTGTTGCACCGTAATTCGCCGTGGTTCTGTGCTATGGCACAAATATCCGCTCGTTATTTTAGCATGGGATGGTAACGGAGGGATCTCGTAAATGCACACCGGGTTCGTCAAAGCTTCTTTGGCTGATACTTACGAGATTGGGTGGCAAATCACTATGCCCTCTGTAGTGTTTAAAAAAGTGCTGTACAGAAATTGGTCGTTTGATAACCGACGCTACATTTTCCTGTTTGTTGTCTATTCACGGGCACCAGAACGTCAGATTGATTTGGCGAACATATTCCTGCTGTCAAGCTTTCAATTAGTCCTCATGAACAGCAGTTCTTTTCTCTCTTTAATTGACTCTGTTCTGTGTGTACTCTGTTACTCTAGTTTTTCAAGTCGGTAATGGTTGTCTGTTCGGATCAAATTCTTCTATCTTGTTTTACGGTCAAGAGGAGTGTCTGCTCGATTTTGATTAATGATTTGATGATGTTTCCGTAGCATTTTCACAGTGGCAAAGATGTTTTTAAGACATGGTTCATTAGCTCTAGCACAGATTTAATACGCCTAAAACATCAAAAATTATTCAATTTTTTTTTAATTTTCAATGCGTCAATTTAAAGAATTTA